ATTTATTACATATTCATTATTTTATTTTCATTGTTCTCATACTATTACCATTTGGATAACAATCAGAACCCACTTTATGGCATTGTAACTTGATGTTACAAACAAACATTGATTTAACAAGTTTATGGTCTAATATTCTTGATAATATGATGCTTTTTAGAATATAAAAAAAATTTTACTGGATTTGAGATGAAGGATTATCTAAGTTATCTAATGAGAGCTTTCAGAAAATCTCACTAAATGGGGGAATGTTTGTGTATGCAACAAATTTCTAGTAAATAGCCTTTATATAATAAAATCTGCTTTCAGCTAGTATAAAGCTTTTTGGCAATTAAAATAATTGGTTACACTTTATCATCTATAAATGTCATCTATAGCATGACATTTTAGTTCTTTTTCAACATATAGTATTATTTGATTTTTTACTTATTAGACCTTCAATAAGAAAAATTGTTTTAGTTTCTACAATATTTGGAGGAAATCTAAAGCTCTGTAAGTACAGAAATCTGTTTTCAGACCAATATATGTTTGCTCAGTACCTTTTGTGTTCATGAATATAGTGTAAAGGCCAATTATAATAGGTCTCTGATAACCTAAAAGTTAAGCCGTATTCTTGGAGTTTTTTGATAACTATGGGAATATAAACATTGACCTACTTTGTGTGTGAAACTTTGTCTAGGCTGCTTCATGAAATGAGGAAAATTACTCTTGTTAATAGTTGATTAATTTAAAAATTATTTATATGCATTTGCATTTCAGTAAATGGCAAAACTTAAAAGTCTTATTTAAAAATTTAAGAAGAAAAGTGTTTTCTCCCTTGCATGTAATAGTAAATTTTGTGTTGTTATTGTAGTCTTTGCTAATCATTTTCCAAGTTATATTGATCATTTTTTTTATATTGTTCATTTTTAAGGCACTGAACAAAAATAAAGATCACATACCATTCTTTGTTCTAAGATGTAATAATTCCTTGTTAAGTTTTACACATTACATTAAGTAGTACTGCAGCCTATGAAGATATTTTTGTCAGCTTTTATATCTTAAGACTTTTGTCAGCTTTTAAATTTAATTTTTTGGTTGAATGATTTCAAAATATTGACTTTTTTTTGGTGCCATATTAATTCAGGGCAATCTTTTTTTTTTTAACATCTTTATTGAGTATAATTGCTTTACAATGGTGTGTTAGTTTCTGCTTTATAACAAAGTGAATCAGCTATACATATACATATATCCCCATATCTCTTCCCTCTTGTGTCTCCCTCCCTCCCACCCTCCCTATCCCACCGCTCTAGGTGGTCACAAAGCACGGAGCTCATCTCCCTGTGCTATGCGGCTGCTTCCCACTAGCTATTGGTTTTACATTTGGTAGTGTAAATATGTCCATGCCACTCTCTCACTTTGTCACAGCTTACCCTTCCCCCTCCCCATGTCCTCAAGTCCATTCTCTAGTAGGTCTTCGTCTTTATTCCCATCCTGCCCCTAGGTTCTTCATGACCAATTTTTTTTTTTTTAGATACCATATATATGTGTTAGAATACAGTATTTGTTTTTCTCTTTCTGACTTATTTCAGTCTGTATGACAGACTCTAGGTCCATCCACCTCACTACAAATAACTCAATTTCGTTTCTTTTTATGGCTGAGTAATATTCCATTGTATATATGTGAAGGGTGATCTTTTACTAATTACAAGTGAATAAGGAAGCATTTTAGAGATTAAAGTTTTAAAAACCAAATCTTTACCATTTGAGTCAATAAAAGTAAGTTATTTCAAATTTATATTATGTAGTGGAGAAAATATATGCAGCTTATAGGCCTGGTAATTGAACTTATTTGTCCTTATAGTCTGTTGGTTTATAGGAACTAAAAATTATTTAACTGCTTGTTTAGTACAAGATGACATTGGTTACCTCAAAGAAAGTTATCCAGTGAAATCTGGAAGATGAAGAGAGGCCTGTCAGTATGAAAAAAAGTTCAACCAAAATATTTTAAAAGAAAAGTTATTTTGCCTAACAAAATTAGGTGTACATTTTTTGAAGTAGTGTAAATCAAGCTTACACTTATACCTAATATTAGCTCACTTGGAAACATTATATTTAAATAGTATATATAAATTATATGAATTGTCACAAGTTCAAGGTGTGTGGTATTCACTAAATACATTTGAATACAAATGAGTTTTATCTAGTTTAATATTATAAAAAACAAACAATGGATAATCCCATTTTTCTCCCTATTTAATCATTATAGCCATATAATAAAATTACATAGAAAAGCAGATTTACATAGTGTCACCATCACTTTTTTAATATTAGAGTGAAAGTGATACTGAAAGATTTAAATATTGGGTTGGCAAAAAGTTTGTTCAGTTTTAGGTAAAAATAGGAGACATTTTTCATGTTCATGAAGAATTTTATTGAACAGCGTATTCACTAACTGAACGAACTTTTTGACCAACCCAATACGTTTTTAGGGTGGATAATTTTCAGTTTAAAAACTTTATAATATCTGGTTTTGCTTCTTTGAAAAATGTGAAAATTAAGAATTCACTATTCTTTAAACATAACATTTCATTCTAATGTTCCCCACCGGCTGTATGTTTCAAAAAGTATTAATCTTGTTTAAAACAGTCCAAAAGAAAAACACTACAGCTCAATATTAAAATAATATTTCTTAGTTCAATTCAGGGGTTTGGTCAGTGAGTCATTATCTTGAAAAATTATCTCACAACAGCACTTATGCAAAATCCAAACTTTTCAGGGGAGATCAAAAATGTTGCCCGTTAAATACACTTCCTGCAGTCAGAGCAGATTGTGGGGTTTACAGAACAATGATGTCGGAGCTTCCAGATTGGTTTGGCAGCTGCATTGTTCTCAGAGGGTAAACCAGACGCACTTAAGTCCCAGTCTCTTTTATAGGCTTTTGTTCATACCAAATTATTCTTTTACTGTGCTAGCATTCATGATGGCACGTTAAAAGAGTGCCGCTTAGCAACCAGCTCTGGTTGCCAGGCAGCCCAGCTTCCAATAGGTTTTCCTTGTTTAAGATACTTTTGGTGGGAGCTCTACCAAGGCCACAGTGCAGATTTTTCTTTTTAACTGTATCCCTTTATTAGGATGCTGTTGTGATTTGTTGCTTGCATTATGGTGTCAGTATATTACAGTAGTTAATAAATCACTGAGTATTAAGATTTGCTTTCAAAACTGCTTCCTTTAATTCTAATAATTGGGCTCATGCATATCCATATTAATAGAAAAAAATTGAAATGGTTACAGCTTCATAATGGAGCAGATGGATATAGAGGTCTCCCAAGGAAAATCTCTTTTTATCAGTTGTGCAGTCAGGAGCCAGGAGAGTGTGATGTTTCTTTAAAACTAATGAATGCTATATTAGTAGAACAATGATGTTAAATTTATCTGTCTTCTCAAGGGATAAAACTGAAGAAACTCCTGTAGAAGTGTGTAGGAGTTCTACACTGAAGGAATTTTAAGTGTACTGTTATCAAGTTAAAGATTCCATGGTCTCTTCTCTATTATTTACCATAGTTAATACAATTTATTTCATTGTATAGAAATACTGCACTCTCTAATAAGTTCACTCTAATGCATTCAAATGTGCAACTTCTTAGAAAATCACTTAGCATTTTCTCTTAACATTTATATAATAGCTCCTTTCTAGTGTAAATAAGATGTTGAGGAACTGTAGAATAAAATATTTTTCCAATTTTCTTTTTTAGGTTATTTAAATAGGTGTTCTATGACAGTCTCATATTCAGCTGCCACTGGCTTACCAATGTTATCCATGCGTAGAACACTGGAATTGCCTTAATAAGTAAACTACTGATGTGCATGTAGTCCTTACAATGAAGCACAAGAGAAAATAATTTTATTTTGCTAACCTATTCCTGGTAGAGAAATAACAATTATTCCCAGTAGACTTTTAGGAAAACAGTAAAACAGCCAAAGCCTTTTAAACAGTAAAAGCATTCTGTAGGAGGAAAGTAGAATAAAAGATGACTTTTTAACCAAATGCAGATAATAATTAGCTAATCACCTAATATAATACAGAAGTATTTTCTGCCATAAAATTCAAGAAATTAAGATAACATTTATTCAGTGTACTTAATTATTTGCTGCTAATTTTATTTAGCAGCAAATATAATTATAGGAATATTCCATTCCTATGCTTTCTATAAATGTGCATAGAATAAGAGCCGTTTCCCCTGGAATGAAATAGACTGTAGTCCCTGGCACTTAATAAGGGTAGCACAGTGTTGTATTCTGTTACTGTGTTCAGGATTTACAAAATAAAGATTATTAGGGCAAAACTATTCATCTCTTAAGTGGAATATAATTCACTTTGTAATTATTTCATTCCTTGTTGGCTGTTGTAGAATGTGTGCTCTTTCATCGCAGTAGTACTCTAAATCGTTTTTGAAAGTCTTTAAATTGTTGTTACGCTTGATCCAAATTAATAACTTTTAAATTATAATAAGTTAATGTTTTCCTTTTCACATGGCTTTCTCTTTAAAATAATTTTTGCAAATTTTTGTGAATTATTTTAGAGAAAATATACATAACCTGTCATAGCACATCTAAAACAGGGTTTTTTAAAATAATATTCTGTGTGTCACTATAGAAACATAGGCCTTCTAACTGTGGGAAAATCTCTTCCATCAGGATTGAGAAGCAGCATGATATAGTGGGGAAAGCATGGGTTTCGGAGTCAGACAAAACTGGGTAAAAAATCCAGTTCCCCTACTTATTTACTTTGTTGCCTTGGAGGGAATACTTAATTTTTCTAATTCCAAACTTTGTCATCTGAAAAGCAGGACATGATACTATCTTGGAAGTGTGTTATAAGGGATGAGAGGATGTAGACAAAACAAAGTTGATATTCAATAGTTTGGTAATTCTCTCCCAACTTCTTTATTGAAATAGAAATGATACTGAAATATCATTCAGTAGACATGAAATTCTAAATATTTTACATTTTTCTCTAGGAATACGGGGTGCTTTGCATTCAAGAATACAGAAAAAACAGCAAAGTGGAGTCAAGTACACATAACAGCTTCATGGGCTTGAAGGATCATCTGGGGCATGACCTAGGCCACCTTTATGTGGAGAGCACTGACCCACATTTAAGTGCATCTGTACCTTGGTCAATGGTAGAAAAACCAACAATGGATAAAGTTAATTCCGGAAAGGAAGAAAAAGAGGTGTCTGAAGAGAATGCGAGCTCTGGTGACTCTGAAGAAAGCACAAATTCTGATAATGAGTCAGAACAATTGAGTAGCATTTCGGTAGAGCCATGCTTATTAACCAAGACTCACAGACAACTATGTAGGTCTCCGTGTTTAGAGCCTCACATACTCAAACGCAGTGAAATTTTGCAAGACTTTAAACCTGAAGAGTCTCAGCCAACCAAGGAAGTGAGGAAACCCCCTGATGTGGTGCGAGAGTACCAAACAAAACTGGAGTTTGCACTGAAATTAGGTTATTCTGAAGAACAGGTTCAGCTTGTGCTAAACAAACTTGGTACCGATGCTTTAATCAATGATATTTTGGGAGAACTTGTCAAACTTGGAAATAAAAGTGAGGCTGAACAAACGGTTAGTACAATTAACAGTATAATGAGGGAAACATCTTCCCTGGAATCTCAGCGGTCTGAGTCTCCGATGCAAGAGATTGTAACAGATGATGGGGAAAATCTGAGACCAATAGTTATCGATGGCAGCAATGTGGCGATGAGGTAAGTGGGGAAATCTTCACTCATTATTACCAAACAATCTTTAAAACGTATTTCTAATTTTGTGACTGTTTCTTTTCTAACAGTCATTAACGTCAAGGTTGTTCTGCATCCCAACATTAGCTTCCATATTTCTAATTGTGTCTCTCTTAGTTCTCTCTCTACTTCCAGAGCAGTCAACCACTCTTACCTCATTTGTCCCTAAATAAAAGACCTCCTTTTGCCTAGTTATGTCTTTTTTTTCCCCCTCATCTGATAAATTACTATGGTATAAAAATTAGCATATATTCCCGGTATAGTGTTAAACGTTAGTTTTAATTGAAGAACTTGAGTATGATCATATTGAATAACTTTGGAACCTAGAGAGATAAATGGCCTTTTTCTATACAAAGTCAAATAACCATAAGATAAAATCCCAGTTCTTGAGAAAATTATTTTTATTGGTTTCAGGAACAAATCAAAGCCATAATTTCAGGAGTTTTTTTTGTTCCATTTAAGAAATGTAATTCAAAAATAATTTTTTAGGAACTGGGGGGAAAAAAAAGCACAAATCTTCCAGAGAAATTTTTTTATGGATTTTGATGGCTAAAAACGTAAAGTGCATCTAAATTCAATTAGTATATAGTTAACTGCCCACAGTGTTCAGAATACTGTGGGGATATAAAGATATGGAAAGGCATCAGTTCTTCTTTCAGAAAGCTTAACATTTCATATATTGTTTCTCAAGGTGACCTGAGGATAGCTATCAAAGAATCATCTGGGGAACTTGTTCTAACTAGTGTACATTCTAGAGCAGTGCTGTTCAATGGAAACGTGATGTGAGGCACATATGTCATTTAAAATTTTCTGGTACCTACATTAAAAAATTAAAAGAAACAAGTGAAATTAATATGAATAATATATTTTATTTAGGTTAATATAGCCAAAATATTATTTCGATGTGTGTTCAATAAGAAAATTGTTAATGAGATATTTTTGCATTATTTCTTTCATATTAAGTCTTAAAATCAGATATCTTACACTTATAGCACATCGCTATTCAGACTAGCCATACTACAAGTGCTTAATAGCCACATGTAGCTTGTGGCTACATATTAGACAGTATAGTTCTAGAAACCTACCAAGTCCACACACAGACCTACCAAGTCTAGATCAAGGTGTAGCCCAGCCATCTCCTTTTGTAACAAATACCCCCACTAATAATGATGCCTACTAAAATTTGAGAACCACTGTTTTTTAGGTGATAGCAGCATTTCTGCATAGAGTATGAGAAGGACCAACTTGTAATCCTCAAAATAATACTGCTTCCACCTGATGGAAAGGTTATCTTTCTTTCATTTATAAGCAAATGAGATTTGCAGTATTTAAATTACTTGTCCAAAGTAAAACATAATTCAAACCCAAATATGTCTGACTTCAAAGTCTGTACACTTTTCATCATAATGAAAGGTTAAAAACAAACTGAAAATGTTCAAGCCAGATCTTCCAGGGCCTTCAATGCCAAGCTAGAGAATTTAAACTTGGCTCCAATCCAAAGGTAATTGAAGATTTTTGAGGAGGGTAATGTCATGAGTAGAGCTGTGCCTTAAACTGATAATCTGGCCATGATATTTAAAGTGGACTACAGGAGATAGGAGATAAATTTGAATGCAAACAACCCTTTCTAAGGGAGTAAAAAGGGCCTTAAGTGTCATAGAGGTATGAAGTGTACATACAACCTTGAGAAGTCCTTCAGTAAAATAACCTCTCTGTTGTCTAATCTTTCCCAAATTTAGCCATGAAATGATTTTTTTTTTTCTTGCAATAATCCAGAACTAGTTAACAGTTACCTTAGCAGAGTGATAATGAGTAAAGCCAAAACACCATGGAATCGCCAAGCGAGAGAGTAATGAAGGAAGGTAATAGGTCCTGGAGAAACACCTACAACCATAGCCATATACGAAAAGCACCAGAGAGGTTCTTAAAGGGCTCAACTCTTGGAGAATCTGATTCAATGGGGTATAGTAGAGCCCAAATAACTGTATAGTATTTTTAAAGTGCCAAGGTATTTCTGATGCATAGCCAGTGTTAAGAACAATTCAACATGGAAGGTGTGGATATCAATAGGTCGGGAGGTAGAAGAAACTGATGATCCAGGGAAAGAGTAGTGTGAAAAAGACCAGTCTTAGAAAAAAGTTTAGTGCTAGTAAAACCAAGAGACATACAAATGCCATCAACTCAAGGAAGCGGAGGCTTTAAGGAGAGAGTATCCTGTGGGTAGAACTGAAAAAAAGATACAGGGACATGACAGCCAGGAAATCATTGTCTTCAAGAATGCCATATGGTGTTAAAGATAGAAACCCAGTTACAAGATGTCAAGAAATGAAGGAATAGAGCTAGACTGTTATTCTCAAAAGTTGACAGAGGAAGGGAAGAAAGAGGAGTGAGTTGAGAAAGGATTTTTAGTTTTATATAGAACAGAACTATATAAGCTGAGGGGATGGGGAAAAAGTCCCCACAACAGCAATAATATGAGAGTTTAATTTTTGAAGCAAAGTTCTCTGAAGGAGGAGACAATCAAAATACAAATAGAGAATTTGGCATTGGAGGTAAATACACTTTGGGGTAGTCAGAAGAACACCTTGGAGGGGAAAAACAGCATCAGACTTATAAAACTTAGAGCCCATAGAAGTGAATTTTTTTAATGGATATCATTTAGATAAATGATGTCACAGTTGGAGCAACTCACATGACTGAAACCTAGTTCCCAGTGGCAATTGAAAAGTACTTGGATAACTGAAAATTTGCATAAAACTCTAAACTTTACTTATCCCACATGATGAGATACAAAAATAAATGGCATAATTAAGGCATTTCAAACAATCTACTATATGTAATTAGAAAACACTTCCACCCCCACGCTATTTTGGCCCCATTCTGTTTCTTTTGCTATAAAGACGGGACAATGCACATCGTATGTTTTAATCTGACATGTAACCTGAGATGCTTCAGGCATTGCAGGAGAGAACGAGTTGACAGGAAATTTTATTATAGCAGCGTTATACTGTCAGTCACAATGAAATGTCGTACCACGTCCATAACTTTGAAAGTGCCAGAACTCATGGAAATGCATAGTAAACTTTTACATTCTGCCACTTACGAGATCTACGTAAAGTAATAAAAGTCAGTTAGAAATGCATATCTACTTCAGATTCAAAATCTTAATTTAACAAAATGCAGAGAGATTTTACCCATTTCCTGTTGCATAAAATATAGCAAACATGCTTTTACTTTTTTTTTTTTTTTGCGGTACGCGGGCCTCTCACTGTTGTGGCCTCTCCCGTTGCGGAGCACAGGCTTCGGAGGCGCAGGCTCAGCGGCCATGGCTCACGGGCCTAGCTGCTCCGCTGCATGTGGGATCCTCCCGTACCAGGGCACGAACCCGTATCCCCTACATCGGCAGGCGGACTCTCAACCACTGCACCACCAGGGAAGCCCCATGCTTTTACTTTTAAGTTAATGTCATATTCATGTTACTTTAGCAAACCTATTATATAATAAATTTATATACATCATAATAAATTATAATAGGTAAATGCGAGGATGAGTTAAGAATAGAGTACTATTTTATTTCCTTTCTGATTTCTCAGGCAGGTATATTCCACATATAAGAAGAATATATTTTAGTTTCATTTAAATGCTAGCAGTGGAACTGATATAAATGATTCTTTAGACGTAAATTAAAAGTAGGAAAGAAAGGCATTTTAGTAAAATTACCAAAATGGACTTTAAAAAACAATTAATTCTCTACACACTACGTTTGTGATTCTGAGTAACTTGTTTAAACTCTCCAATCTCAGTTTTCAGGATTGTAAAAAGAGGAACTCATCTTGCAGGCTTGTTATTAGAATTAAAGATAATTAATACCAAGTGCCTGGCATGTAGTAGGTGCTCAGTAAATTACAGTTATTATTACATTAAAGAGCTAGATTCTGTATTTTAATCCAGAACATAATAACTAATGTAATGAAAACTTAGTTCTTCAGATTTTTTTAAATAAATTTATTTTTATTTTTGGCTGCGTTGGGTCTTCGTTGCTGATAGTTGTGGTGAGCGGGGGCTGCTCTTCGTTGCAGCACACGGGCTTCTCATTACTGTGGCTTTCCTTGTTGCAGGGCATGGACTCTAGGTGTGCGGGCTTCCCTAGTTGTGGCTCGCGGGCTCTAGAGCACAGGCTCAGTAGCTGTGGCGCATGGGCTTAGTTGCTCCACGGCACATGGGATCTTTCCAGACCAGGGATCGAACCTGTGTCCCCTGAATTAGCAGGCAGATTCTTAACCACTGCGCCACCAAGAAGTCCCAGCTTTTCAGTTTTTTTATTCAACATTTAACAAGCCGCAGGTTAGCAGTCCATCCTATGATCTATAGGTATATTTTAATTCTTTATGTTTATATCATCAATTGTTTTCAATGATTTCTATGGTTTCATAAAGAAGACTTGGGCTCTTAGATCTGGGTGATGCCAAAATTGCCCAGGGACAAGCCATATAACCGTAATATACAGCATAGGTCCCAAAATTGCAGGAATCCTGTGTTGCTTTGCAGGAAGCATGCTTTCAGCTTATTAATATCTCTTAAAAATGTGCCACATTGATAGAAGTTCTGGGTAAGTTCGTTGAATAAGCAATTCATTCAAAATTGACAAATACTTAGACTGTAGTCTAGCATAATTTGTGATAGCATTTCAATGTGAGGTATAAGAGCAAAGAGGACATAAGTATTCAAAAATAGAAAACAGCTAACTATTAAGTTTAGATAAAGCCCTAAACTTTTGCACAAAACTACTTGGTTTTTGAAATATGAAACAGAATAAATTTATATTTAGTGGAACTGGACTAACTAACAAGTACTGACAAAAAGCTGCAGTTAATTTTAATTCTTAAAAAAGCAAAAACAAAAAAAAATTCTCAGTAATTTAGCAAATTGGTCATTCAGCAAATAGGCTTCTTTCCATACTAGGGCAG